CCGACGACCCCGAACATGCGTGCGTCGGGCGGTGGAGGCTCAGCGCCGGGGGCGTCCCCGTCCCCCTTTCCCCGACGTCGAACACCCCGCCTACTTCCACGCCGAGATCGAGCGTGTGCGGGCCTCCCTCCCGGAGTATGACGCCGGCAACCATGAGGCGTGGGCGGCGTACTTCAAACGCCGGCAGGTGGAACGGCTCGCCTCCATCAACAACGCGCCGGTGGCGCGGGGGCGCAACAACATCGACGACCGTCGCTTGTGGTGGGGCGCCCCCGGCCGCATGCTCCATGCCGTCCTTGAGTACCTCGAGGGCAGCAACGATTCGCCGCTCGAGTACCCGGCTGCCCCCCCTGCCGGTGTGGCGGCGCGTGGCTACCGATGAGAATGTTGGGCGGGTCCTCCTCTTCCTCCCGATCCTCCTCCTACTCCTTCGGGTCGCCGGCGCTCGTCAGTGTCAAGGCCGAGTCCATGGAAACGCCGCTCGGCCGGCGCACCCGTAGCGTTGGCATCGTCATCAATGAGGGCGGCCGTGCTTCCCCCGCCTCGTCAAGCTGAAGACGGAGCCGGGGCTCGCCGCCGTTAAGAGCGAGCCCGATGACGCGCTCGTCGACGAGGCCGCCATGAAGTGGGCGCGGGAGGATTGGGCCCGGCTAGAGATGGAGCGCCAGCGCCGTGCTCTGGAGGAGATCACCGTGCGCCGCCATGGACACGAGGAGGGAGACGTGATCGTGCTCGAGGACAACGACGAGGACGACGCACCGCCGCCACCCAAACCTGTCCGCCAGGACGACCCCGGGCAGGGGTCCAACAGGGATGGCCGTGTGAGGAAGGAGAAGGGGGAGGAGGACGACGACTACGCCGCGTTCAGCCAGTTCTTCGGCCTGTAGGGGCGGCCCTTTGTTTTTTATAGTAGATTTTATGTTTTCTATATGTAAAAAATTGTGGAGCGCCTAATATATGTCGTGTTTGCCGAATCTATGTCGTGTTTGCCAAACTTTGGCCGAATATTTTTTTTTGAAAAATATTTACAAAAAGGGCGACCTAGGGGCGGTGACTGGGAACCCGATCGCCCCCATGGTGAAAATATCGCCGGTGAGGGAGGGGCGGGGGACGGCTGGAGATGCTCTTAGTCATTTGGTGCCGATCTGACGACGTAGTTAAAACCCATTGCAATTAGAGGATTTACTGTCCCTATATTGAATCAATTTGGTTGGTGCTTTAGATGTCATACACGATTTCATAGAAGCATTGGAGCGGGCATGCGATGTATCTGCACGATGCCCCCATAAGCTCCCTGTGAAAAGAAGCTGGCTTTTGAGTCATTTGATACCGAGAGGAATTTTTTGGATGTGTATGCCATGTTAGTTTTTTTAACTTACTAGATGACCGTTACACCAATTGGCCTATAGATCAAACTGCAACCATAAAGTTAAGCAAACTATGTGAAACAAAAAATGAAAGTCAAATGAACTATTTAAAGAGACGAACTAAGAGCATCTCCAACCGCGTCCCCAACAGGCCCCCTAAGGCTCAGTCGCACCCCAGAAGCTCAGTTTTCGCCGGTTAGGGCCGAATTTGACGCCGGCGGACTCAGGTCGAACCCGGCGCGCTGAGGGTCGCTCGGGGGCGCCGGGGGAAACAGTTTTGGCGCGAAAGCCGGGCTGGCCCGCCGAGTCAGCGAGTAGGCGTTCGTCATCCTCATCGCCTCGATTTCCGGCGGGGAATCAATGCAAGGCTGCCGTCGAAACACCATACTTCTCCCCGTCTACCTCTCTTCCTGTCTGCAGCCACCGCCGATGGCCCATAGGTTCCCCGCCGATGGAGCCGCGACCAACGGCTTTGGCTCTCGCCACCTTCACGAGTGGGAGGCGTACCTCCTCCACGTGGCGAACTACCCGGCACCGCCTGACATGCGCGTGTCGAGCTCATGGAGGCTGAGCGCTGGAGGCGTCCCTGCCCCCACCGCCGCCGACTGACGCCGACCGTCGCGACGCCGGGATCGTGCGCGTTCGGGCGTCCCTGCCGGAGGAGGTGCGGGGCCTACCAGAGTACGCCGCCGGCAACGACGCTTGGTGGACGGCGTACTTCCGGCGCCACCACGAGGAGCAACTCGCCTCCACCAACAACGCGTCGGTGAGGGGCCGTTACAACAACGAGGGGCGGCGCCTGTGGTGGGGCGTCCCCAGGCGTATGCTCCATGCTGTCCTGGAGCACCTTGAGGGCTGCAACGAGCTGCCGCTCGAGTACCCAGCGGCCCCGGCCCCTGTCCCCCGCCGGAGCGGCAACTCTTCTTGGCCGCCGAGGCGCATGGCGAGCGGCTTCTCCTTCTCCCCCTCCTCCGGGTCACCGGCGCTCGCCCCAGTCGCCCCGGTCAAGGTCGAGCCCGTGGGAGACGCCACTTGGGCGGCACACCCGCGGTGGCCCTCTCCTCCCCCCTCCCGCCTCGTCAAGCCGAAGCCCGAGTCGGGGCTCGTCGCCGTCAAGAAGGAACATAACGATATGGCCGCTGACGAGGAGGCCGCCCTCAAATGGGCGCGGGACAACTACGTCCAGCTGGAGCTGGAGCGCCAGCGCCACGCCTCACCCTCGAGGAGATCACCGCTCGGCGCCGCGGCCGCGATGAGGGTGGCGTCATAGTCCTCGAGGACAGCGACGATGAGGCACCGCCGCCCACCAACCCCGTCCGCTAAGGCGACCTAGGGAAGGGCTGTAGCAAGGACGGCGGCGACGAGAACACGAGCTTCTACAAGTTCTTCGACATGTAGGAGGCTCGGAACGGCGGCGGCGGCGG